ATGAGCGCAAACATAAGATGAAAAAAAAAAGAATAATAAGTATAATCTCCTTTGTATCTGACAACAACTATGTAGAGGATTGTCTTATTTTGGACTCCCACTGCAGAGATATTATAAATATTGATCATATTGGTATAGATATAGATGGTAATTTTTATAGTTTTCTCAGATTTTTGCATGTGAACGTTCAAGGCTTTATAAACAATTTAAATATCATTGATGTGATGGTTAATTATCACAATGTTGACATTTTGTGTTTGTCTGAACACTGGATCATAAAAGACGATTTCAATAAAGAATATTTCACTAACTATAAAGTAGTTACGATTTTCACTAGACAGAACCACGTTCGTGGGGGAGTTCTTATTGTAGCAAAAAAGTCAAATCAGCAAATTGACGGAATTTCTGTTATCAAAAATTTATCTGTAGAATCTCATATTGAAATGTGTGCGGTTTGTTTGAGAATTGATGTTGAAAAAATTTGCGTAATAACTGTGTACAGGTCACCCGATGGCGACATAAATATTTTTATCAATTGCTTGACCCAGGCAATTAGCATGGCTACGGATCGTTCAGATTATTTGATATTGTGTGGAGATTTTAATATAGATTTTCTCAAGTCATCAGACAAAGATACAAAACTTCTTAAAGATATTTTTGATTGTTACCTTTTAGAAAACCACTATATGGGCCCAACTAGAATTTTTGCTTATAGGAATGGTCATACTAGTTCTACTTGTATCGACTATATGGGGACTACCCTACCTAATGATACTTTCAAATGTGAATTGATTCAGCCAAATGTAGCTGACCACTTAGGCCAACTTTTGACTTACTCTTTGAGTAGTGTTGCCATTGAGGATGGGGACATGTGTGTCAAAAGTGTAGCGAAGCGTCAATTGTATCCCGGAAACATTATGGAGCTTCGAACATATCTGATGTCTGTCGACTGGATAGAATTATACTACCAGGATGTGACAACTTGTTTTTCTTATTTTCCGGACCAGATTTCATGGTGCTTCAATGTCTCTTGCCCTATCAAAAATATAAAACTCAAACAAAAAATTTCCAAGCCATGAATAACAAATGATATCATACGAGAAGGAAAAACATTAAAAGACATGTTCTGGCTTATTTCTTCTAGTAACACTGTAGACCCTGATATGACGCATAGTTATAGGGCAAAACTTAAAAATCACAGATTCAAAATCAAACAAGGAAAGACCAACTATTATAATGCAAAAATATATAACTCCAACAATAAAACTAAACAAGTATGGACTATCATAAATAATGAACTTGGGAAAAAAACTAAAAATGAAAATCCAGCATGTATAGCTTTGAAATATAACAATCAATAAATTGAAGATCAACATACGATTGCAGATTTGTTTGCTAGGCATTTCTCTTCAGCGGCTGCAACCGCAATTTCGGATCATTTTGGATGTAACTTAATTCTACCATGTACTTTTGCCAAGAATATTGTCGTTCAAAATGAATTCGATCTCTCAGAAATTTCACCGCTTGAAGTTTTGAAAACTTTAGATAATATGAGGAACAGAAATTCAGCTGGTATTGATGATATGTCTATTGTTACTGTAAAGCAAATTATTGATATAATTATTGAACAATTAGTTTTTTTGCTTAACCAGTCCTTTTATGGGGTTTTTTTCCCAGATGAATTGAAGAGGGCTCTTGTCTTTCCACTGCACAAGAAAGGTCGGATAACAGAAATTGACAATTATAGGCAGATTTCGTTGATTTCATCCTTTTCAAAACTCTGAGAAAATAATAGGTAATAGAATTTTGATGTATATTGAACAAAATGATCTATTCTGCAATAATCAACATGGTTTTAGGAAGAGTAAATCAATTAAATCTGCATCTTTTGAACTATATTTATGCACAAGTGGATAATAATAACCTGGTTTTTTCACTTTTTTTAGATCTATCGAAAGCATTCGATACTGTTTCTTTCAAATTTCTATTGGAAAAATTACTAGTAATGGGCTTTCCCAATAATGTACTGTGTTGGATAGAATCGTACATGGAAAACCGTAGTTTGGTGGTTAAATGTGATGGAATTACATCAGTTCCTTATGATGTGAAACTAGGTGTTCCACAAGGGTCTGTTCTGGGTCCATTGTTATTCTTGACTTTTATCAATGACTTGCCTGAATTCATATCAGATTGTCACATAACTATGTACGCAGACGATACTACAATCACTATTTCTGGAAAAAATGAGAATGAATTATCGATGAAAATTAATTTAGTTAATGACGAATTCAGTAGTTGGTGTCAACGTAACAAACTGATTTTAAATAAATCTAAGTCAGTGCTGATGAAAACATTTGTTAGGAGGGATTTCTGTTGTAATTTAGTCACTTTGAATGACATAAAAATATCAAAAGAAGTTGCACACAAAAAGTGTGCAGTAAACTCAATTCCGCTTATTATTCGATCAAACAGTTAAAACATTGTTTAGATAGGTTTGGTTTACTAAATGTTTACTTTGCGAATGCATACTCCCACAACATAATGGCTTGGGGATGTGCAAAGGAATTTTCTAGAGTTTTCATCTTTCAAAAACGACTGATAAGATTAATATTCAACCTGGGGTACCAAGGAAGTTGTAGACCCGTTTTCAAAAGAGAACGCTTATTATTTAGAGGATTCTTTCACAATATATAATCGTTCTAAATTTTCACTTGCTGTTTTGCTTTAGTTTCAGTGTTCTGACTGGCGATATTATCGTTTTTTTTTTTAAATATGTGTGTACATGTTTGTAAATATATGTATATATGTAAATATAAACATATGTATATTTATTTGACTACGGCAAGCAAAATTGACACATTTTTATTCATTTTTTAATTATCATTTTATATATCTATATGTACCTATATCCTTATATATGCAAATATCAATTTTCATTTAAGCTTTGATTCCATAATTTTATTCATAAGTGACGTACTGTTTTTTTGTAAATAATAATTGACCTACCATATATACGCTATGTATCACAAATGGTGAATAAATATTATTATTATTATTATTATGATTATTATCTTACATAAATTGTACATTTCATATTTGTGACCATGAGCTGAAGGGCGGAGTTTATTCCATTTGGAGACAAGACTTCCACTGAAATGTTCTTCCACTCAACCCCAAAATGCTGCCCTATCAAGCTTATTGAAGTAGTATCATCATTACACATTCTTTCATAAACGAATGTTTCAAATTTATTTAGTAAAACGAGAAAAAAAGACAAAAAAAGTTTGCATTGGTCAGAAAAAATATTTTCTGTATTTCAATTTGAATTTTGTGAACAATAGACATTTGGGTTTCAGAGGTAGAGAATTGTAAGTATATGGTGCATATTTGATATGATAAACAACGTTTGAAAATTTCAATATTGAACTGTTGGCATTAGAGTAGAGAATTTCACATTCAGATTATGAATGTCAGAGCGAAATGTGATTTTATGATACAAATAGGTGGGTATTTTTGGTAGTTATAATTTTGTGGGACAAAAAAGCAGCATGAAAATGTCGCCTCATCTCCATATTCAACCATCCAGCAGTAATTAGTGTAAATGGACGGATGCCTACATCCAGTAACGTTAGTTACAAATAAAAGTGATGAAAAAACATAAAAATTTCCATTTCTCTTTCCATTAGTAATTAGTGTATTTGAAATTTTTTCGCGTCTACGAATACAATATATGAGTCTTAGGCAAGAGTTTTGAACTTTTTGTACATATGAACACCACTTTTGATACATATAAGGGCCGTACACGCAGTCGGCAAAATTAAAAACAGACAATACTTAAGATTCATACAGAAGTAGGTAGTTTTATATCCATCGTTCAGGGATAGATGACACCTCCAAATGACTATTTATGTGATTTTCGAATTTTAAATTACAGTCTACCTCTACATCAAGGTTTTTTGTGTGTTGTATAAAAGCTAATTGGTCACTATCAATAGTAATTTTGATATCTTGAGGAAACGATGAATTGTTTTTTGAACCAAACAATATTATGTTAGATTTACTGGAATTTATCTTAATACAATGGTGTCATACTTTTTCCATGAAGTTGTGAGGATTTTCATTAATGAAATAACAAGCCGTTTCCCCTGGATAAAAATTGTAATAGATTTGTATATTTTCGTTTGTTGTTGAACTGACATTGTCAAGAAACACCTTTAGTTTTCGTCCTTGTAAATATGCCTAAAATAACTTAATTGCTACCACTGATAAGCCTAAATGGTACAGAATAGCCAAAATTAGTTGATATTTTATAATGCCAAATGCACGGTTGAAGTCCAAGAGTCCAGTTCACAGATACCTCACGAAGGTTTGTTTGTGATTTATGTTCTGATCAGTCTATGTTTGTGATAAGGTACTTATCCAATGTGTTGAAGGGTAATCCTGGAGTCCAATGTTTTGTTTTTCTATGATTATTTAATTTTACATAGAACATTCATCTACGTTGATATTATGAGAAAATAAGAATTATCGGTTATAGTTGAATTTCGATGAATAGCAATCATAACCTGAACTGGTTTTGTTTAATAATTAGATAAAACCGACTGATACTTGATGAAAATCCATATTAAAAGTAACTAATATAGTTTACTGCGTGATTTTCACTATAAAGGGCTTCACAAAAACCGTGACACGTGTTTCACTATACGATAGCTTCCTCAAGCCTAAACTAGTTTACCCTTAAGGAAGGAAGCTATTATATGAATAAGTTTTTTTTTTGTTTCGTTTATTTTCATTTCTTTCTTAAGTATTCGCAATTACCCCACTCTACCCAATAATTGTAAAATATTCCACTGCAGAGATGCATCAGATACACCAACATGAATACCTAAACTAAAAATAATTATTTGGATATGGTGATTTTGGTTGATTCGAAAAAATGAACAAGATAAGCCTGAGAAAAACAAGTCCAGAATCCATGATTTAATTATAAATAAAAGTAACGTTCCAAGAAAATAAATCATTGTAGTTATACATAGTGCTTGTATTCAACAAACATTCATGAGTATGAAGTGGTTTTTGCTTCTTTTGCATCTAGCGTCAGTTATTGGTGAGGCATTTCTTCATTTCATTTTTATATGGATCCAGTACGAATAGTTTCGAAATTTTAGAAAACTCTATAACTTGCAATATGTATGTTATTACACTAGGGCTGCAAAATTATCTAAAACAATGGGGAGTGCAAATAATTAAATGATTATACATTTCAACTTACTAATTGCCACCATTGATTCGCAAATCAATATATGATTTGCGAATCAATGGTTTCGGAAGGTCTATTGTGATAATAATTTTGCGAAATCTGAAAAAACGAACGGAAGTGATTTTCGAATTGCAATAAAAAATGTCAATTCAAAGTTCATATACCGATTTTGGTTTTGATATAACTAGACAAAAACATTTCTTGTAGTCAAAAAAAAAAATAAGATGTTCTCGTGAGTTGGAAGAACTTTTTTGTCTGGATTTTATGTGATAGTAAGTAGTATGGATAATTTTAGTAATTTGTTAGTAATTTCAATATTGAAAATAACACTGTTTCCTCTCCTATGAACGGAAACATTTTTCACCGATGCTCATTCAAAGCAACCAAGATATTACTGTAAAATCAATGTTGTCATTTATATCAGTGAGACTTTTGGGTTTTTTCAATTTTCCAATATTTATGGGTAGTCAATTGAAAAAACCCAAATTCATGTGAACTTCACACCTGTAATATTTATTTATTATTCATTCAATATTTCCCAATTTCAAGAAACATTTTTTCATTAGGTTTATATGGTATTGATGCGAAGGCGTGGAGGAAACGTTTTATTTTAGAATTATCAAGACCATCATTTTTCAATGAAGCAAATCCTTTGGGAAACGTGGAAGGAGCTATAGCACACGAATGTGAAGTGAAGAATCCGTCAATAAGAGATTATTTCGAGGTATCATTTCATTTGAATAATATATCAATTGAATTACAAATAAAATCTTTGTAATTCCAGTTCAATGATTGTACAATTTTATTCTCTCAGATAAATGATGTCAATGAATGTAAAATAATCCAGTGTTACATATAACTTTGACAAACCTCCTTTATTTTTTGACATTTATTAATGCTACTGAATATTTTGAAAGTAATTTGATCATGACTATTGAAAAAAGCGTCAGTTATGTGACCGTTTCTTGTATTGAGTTGTGTAAGTGGGTAATGATCCATAACTCACACCTTCAAACCAATCAGACTTGATCTGATACATAACTTTAGCTGATCACAGATAAGCAATTTCATTTCTTCACACTTTTGTGAATTGTCATGGAAATGTATCTACTTTTAAATAGTTTCTCAGCGAATTCCAAACGTATTTATGTAACTGAAAGTTCGTTTTATGGTTTCCAATGAAAAACATAAATGAAAGCATTGATTCGAAAAGTGAAACCGAGTGAACTTTCAAAAAATTTGTATTGTGGCAAAAACTTTATATTTTTCAAAAGTTCGTCACTTGATAACAAAATGATAGTTGATCAAATACTGTGAACTTTCAAGGCCGGAGATAACAATGTGCATACTGGTTTTATATTGGGCGTAACTTGATTTATCTTCATTGGATTATCTGTTTGTGTAACATTAAGGATAGATAGTGAGATTTCATTAATGCTCATAGTATATTCTTTTCTATTGAAATTATCCCTGTGGTTTTGAATGTCTGTATACTCTTGAGTAGTGATTTTGAGATTCATCGAGTATTACTGTATCTTAGAATGAGAACATGTTCGACTTGTCGAACCCGCAGCTACAGGGAATCCGATATACCCCGGGCGTTGCTGAAGGTTATCTGGGGTTCTTAGCTGACAATAGACTTCGTCTGATGCTTTTTGTTAGCCTAAATATTGGTTTCAAATCGTTTATCTTTAAGATTATCCCAATCCAGTCTGTAACATTTCAAATATAGGGAAGGAAAGTCTTTTCTTTGGAAATTACTAGCTGGGTTTCTCTCTCCTGGGTGGCCCGCTCGAATTCTCCTTCGCCATTCCTTCTGCAGGCATTTTTTAGATGATTGAATTCCTCAGGAATACTTTTAGGTTTACAGATACTTCGTGCTCTCTCAACCAACGTTTCAATCACTCCTCTCTTTTGTTGTGGCTGGTGGTTAGAGTATTTGTTCAGGTACCTGTACACTGTATGGTCTAATGTACCATCTTCACGTCTAGTCACAAGAACATCCAAGAAGGCTAGATTCCTTTGGCTAGCGATAATGACGTGAGTAAAACTTGTTTTGAGTATTTTGAAAATACATAAATACCATCCAAATGAAATTCAATTACATCAGAAACTGAATGAGGATGATTTTGATTTTCTGCTATCGAAAAAATCAATCAAAGAATTCACATAAAATTTTGTGTAAATGATGGAATTTATAGCAAAAAACACTTGAAATATTGGCAGTGGCATACGGTAAACGTCGAATCACTATCAGATAAGTTCCTGAGATTGCGACATATCGGTTGACTCATGACATGCAATTTTTTCGAAAATTTTGGGCATGAAGCATGGGGCAGCGAAATTAGTTCGAAAATAGCTGAATTTTGACGAAAAAAAACCGTCTCATGAGCATCTCTGGAGAAATATGGAATGACATCAACTGCGATCCAAATTTGCCTATAAGGATCATAACTAGTGACGAAATCATGGTTATATAGTTATGACATCGAAACCAAAGTCCAATAATCCCAATCGCCCAAGGGAGTCGAAACTAAAAAAAGCACGCCAAGTTCGATCAAATGTCAAGGTTTTGCTCACACGGTTTTCTATTACTGTGGCATAGTGCATCAGGAGTTCTTGCCACATGGTCGTACGGTCGAAGTTATGAGCCTCTGACGAGAAGCAATACGAAGAAAACTTCCGGTATTGTGGAAAAACAATTTATGGCTTCAACATTCGTCATTGCTTGTTCGTAATTTTTTGCCCAAAAACAACACCAATCATGCCTCAGTCACCGTATTCACCAGATTTGGGCCCTTGTGACTTTTTATTGTTCTCAAGATTGAAGAGATCAATGAAAGTTCGTAGTTTTGCGACGATTAAGGGGATAAAACCGAATCGCTTAGAGAGCTCAAGGACATACCAAAAAGTGCATATTAAAACTGCTTTGGGGGTTGAAAAAAACGCTTGCACAGGTACATTATATCTGAAAGGAACTACTTTGGAGGGGAAGAAATAGAAATTGATGAATAAATGAACTTTCTTGAGAAAAATAAAAATTCATCTTATTTTTTGAACAGACCTCTTACTAACGAAGAGATGTCAACGAAATCCGGTATTTCTCAGAAATATTATTTTCTCCGGTAAGGTAAAATCGGCACCGGCATTCAGTATCCTATTAATACTGGCATATTTTTTCGAGGGGACAGTAACTGGAGTCATTTATTTGAATTTTTCACAAAATGTTTCAATACCTGTTTCACGACAACGGTTTTCTGATCATTCAAACCCTGCAGACAATAATATAAATTTATGGTTTCAACAAGATGAAGCTACACCACGTTATGCAGCAGAAGTAAAAGTTAATCTTGCTCTAGTTTTTACGCATTGATGGATCGGTAGACGTGACGAAATTGAATGGCCACCCCATTCTTGTGATCTGACTCCATTGGAATATTTTTTATGGTGCTATCCAACATGATAAATGTACTAAAAGAAACTAATACTGATAATTTAAAACACCACATAAGACAAGAAATCATTCAAATCAACGCAGATATGTTGCAAAACGTTGTCGAAGAATTTCCCGCATTAAAACTGAACAGGCAACTGAAATGATACAGCAAAAACAGTTTGCAGATATGTTAGTAATTCCAAAGAGAAAATAACCGTTTCTAACTATTTTTCACACTGACTCCTTAAAAAAACGATAATGGATCTGTTTTGCACCAAAAAATTATATACTATCGAGCTTTTCAAAAAACTGTCCATGATTGTACATTGTTGAAAAAATAATTTCAAGTAGTGAAAATACAGTTGCAGCAAATTCAGTAACAGCTGTAGAAGCGCTTGGCAACAAATATGAGTTGATTCCCGAACATCACACTTTTTGAATTGGGTCACGAATATGAGTATAACCGCAAACTGATCGTCGATCAGGTCCTCATAAAATTGAGGAAAATATACCATTCTAGCCAGCTGACCTGAAAGATCACTATCAAATAATCAATTGTCTTATTTAAGAAGCTGGATTTATTCAAATGAATTTGAGTGGGAGGGAGCCACAATAAACTTTCGTGGGTTGTAGTGGACTCCATTGGACTAAGACTCCATTAATCCTACTTTAGGTTCGAAATTTATAATTATGATTGTTCATGGAGAAGCAGACACACTTCAAGAAAATCCATGACATGCTTTGAAAGCGACGTCAGTAAGGAAAAAAAATAGTCTTGAAGTTTACTCTGTAAGTATACCGTACTCTAACTGAAAGTGTTTGAAGAGTAGTTCAAAATGTAAGAAATCGAATCTTGAAACGATAGGCATCTATTATAGTTGTCAGTATAATTCTGACATATGTATATTGCTCCCAGTGAAATCAAGTATATTCAGTCAGTCATACAAAATATTTGGGAAACTTCTAAAGGAAGGAAAAAGCAATCAATTTCGAAATGACCTCTTTGTAAAGATGTGTAGATCATTCATAGACGTTACTTTCAGACACAAACAAAAAGCTCTCCCGAAAGAACTACTTAGATATACAATATATTATATAAAAAACTTTCGTCTATTCAGTTTGTACTCTAAACATTCGTTATAGAATTGAATCAGATATCATTGACAGGATAGCTACACAATATAGTATATGAAACAGGTAAAATTTCACTGTCATCTTCAATGGCGAATATCGATGTTTCCGAAAAAGAAATTTGTCTTATTGCCTTTTCAGCACCACTCAATTCATTCATAACATTACGATTGTATATCACGGATAAGGTAAATCTTTTCAAGATGACATTACGTAATCACATTCATTCGCTTATTTGATTTAATCCCAGCTACAGGAATCTTGTCTAGGGAGTTTTTTATACTGAAAAAAACTCTTCAGAGTTCATACAACATACAAAAAACATCGTTCTGCAAGAAAGTGATATTTTGGTTTCCTTTGATGTTAGTTCCTTATTTCCTAACGTCCCTATTTCACAGACCTTACAATACCTCAAGAAATTACTAGAGAAACATAATTTCAATGATAAGAAAATTGATGAATTCGTTTCTCTCACTAATTTGTGTATGAAACAAAACCGTTTCCAAGTAGAAAGTTGCCTTTATGAACAACAGGAGGGAACGGCTATGGGTAACCCCTTGTCTTCCTACGTGGCAAACCTGTTCATGAGCAGATTCGAAACGGAAACCAAAGAAAAGTCAAAGTATTTTCCAAAGATATGGTTGAGGTATGTGGATGATGTTTTCGAAATATTCGATGAAAAAAATCGAATATTGAGGACAGGAGAAATAACATATTTCCATCAATAAAATTCACGTACGAGTTAGAAAATAAAGGATACCTTCCATTTTTTGACGTTTTGGTAATGAGGAGCCAATATGGAGGGCTAGAAAACGATGTATTTGAAAAAGAAACAAGCACGTACAGGTATATTTCTGACAGTTCACATCACTGTGGACAGCACATACGTGCTGGGCTGAATTTTCCTCTCACACATAGGAGGTTCACAAAAAAACGTTCCAGACAGGAAACAGCCAGTTACGGTTTCTCGAGGGGTATTGTAGATGATATAATAAGAAAGAAAAAGTTTAGGTTAAGAATGAACGAACTCTCGACTTTTAAAAACGACGAAAACCAAGACAAATATATCTCAGTTCCATACCACCAATACACAAAAAACTTTGGAAATATTTTCATGTAACTAGGTATGAAGGTGGTTTTTAAAACAAGTTATACAC